TGGTCATAAGAGTATTTTGTAAACCTGATCTCAAAGGCAAGAGAAATAAAAGCAAAAGAAAATGACTGAGACTATGTCAAACTAAAAAGCTTCTTCTCAGCAAAAGAAATCATCAACAAAACAAAAAGGCCACCAATTGAATGGGAGAAGATATTTGCAAACAACAACTCTAAAAATGTGGTTAATATCCAGAATAAATAAAAAATTCATACAACACAACAATAAAAAAGAAGTAATCCAATTTTTTTAAAAAAAATGGGCAGAAGACCTAAACAAACTGCTGGCCAACAAAAATATGAAAAGATGCTCAATTTCATTAGTTATTAGGGAAATGCAAATCCAAGCCACAATGAGATACTACCTCATACCTGTTAGAAAGTCTATTATCAACAAGACAAGTAATAACAAGTGTTGGAGAGCTGTGGAGAGAAAGGAAAACTCATTCACTGCTAGTGTTGGAGAGCTGTGGAGAGAAAGGAAAACTCATTCACTGCTACTGTGAATATAAACTGGCACAGCCACTATGGAAAACAGTATGAACGTTCCTCAAAAGACTAAAAATAGCCCTAGCTCAGTGGGTAGAGCATAGGCCTACAGACTGAAGGGTCCTGGATCCAATTCCGTTCAAGGAGTACAAGAGGCAGCCAATCAATGATTCTCTCTCATAATTGATGTTTCTACCCCCCTCTCTCTCTCTCTCTCTCTCTCTCTCTCTCTCTCTCTCTCTCTCTCTTCCTTCCTCTATGAAATCAATAAAAACATATTTTAAAAAAACAACAACTAAGAATAGAGCTACAGTATAATCCAGAAATCCCTCTTCTGGCTATTTACCAAAAACAACTGACATTTATTTATAAAGACATATGTACCCCTATGTTCACTGTAGTATTAATTCATGGTGGCCAATACATCCCAACTGAAGTGTTCTTCAATAGATGATTGGATAAAACAGATGTGGTACATATATACCTCTATGAATAATACTCAGTCATAAGAAAAGATGAAATATTGCCGTTGCAACACCATGGATAGATCTTGGGAATATCATGGCAAGCAAAATTTGCCAAGGGGTGAAAGAGACATCTTCACAGTTCGCATTCCTGTCTTCTTTCCTTAAATTCCCATCACTAGCATGGAATTAATTTAAAAATGGGAAATGGTGATGAATTCCCTTCTTTTGAATATTTAACAAGCAATAGCAAATAAACAAAACGGTATTTTAATGTTTGGCATAGCTGCTCTGAAGTATTATATCAAAGCAGCTTCAGTTTTTAAGGGGATGACCTTAAATAACTAAGGTCTTAGCTTTGCAACATAACAGTATTATTTAGAGATGTGGGGATAGGGTAATGAAAGTAAAGGGTCTGAGCCAGAAACTATCCTTGACCTAAAAGATGAGCATCGATGCTTAAGAATCAGGCTGCTCTGAGAAAAGATTTGCCTTTATGAAGCTGATGACACACTGTCTCAATTTGTGTATGGGAGACCTTTTCAGTTTACAGTGGTATGTGATGAGTGCTTTTTCCTTAGCTCCTCAGATTCTGAATGCTTTTTAGTTTCAAATATTTTTAAATGTCTAAAAATATATTTTAAAAATAAAGAGTTAAATGGCTAGGACAGTGGTCAGCAAACTCACTAGTCAACAGAGCCAAATATCAACAGAACGACGATTGAGATTTCTTTTGAGAGCCAAATTTTTTAAACTTAAACTTCTTTTAATGCCACTTCCTCAAAATAGACTCACCCAGGCCGAGGTATTTTGTGGAAGAGCCACACTCAAGGGGCCAAAGAGCCATGTGTGGCTCACGAGCCACAGTTTGTCGACCACTGGGCTAGGACACTTCAAAAATAGTTTCCTTAGTTCTGAGTTTACAGTTAGGAATTTCTAGGAGGAGAGATCTTAAAATCCCTAGAATTCTTTTGTTTCAGCAGAAGTTGCAGAGAAAACAGATTTGACTCATGTGCTCTTCAATTGTCCCCTCAGCTCTAACCCATTTTCACAGAATAGCCAGAGAAGAGCTTAGACCAGGAGGCTTATGCGCTGATTCAGATGAATTCCAAAAGACCAACCCTGAGATTGGGCTTGGGCAATAATTCTGATCCAGAGGTCATGAGGAGACTTGGGTAATGTCCATACAAGACTCCATTAAAGGGAACAAAAGCCTCCTCTTTGCTCATGTCTTTCATCACAGACCTGAAGGTTGTCTACCAAATAGAATGGACTTTCCTAACTGATGTTCCCCCTCTTCCTCTCACCCCTTATTAGAGGCTTAGGAGGTCAGGCTTCAAGCAACATCCATAGGCATAAATGTCAAGATTACAAAGAATTCTGCAGTATAATGACAATGTCAAAGAGTACCAACAATACTCGGTTGGATGTTTTTATCCATACGGTAATATAGACTGTGAGCAATTTGAGGCAAGGTCTTATATCTTAGTCCCCTCTTTGTCTCTTGTACAGTGCCTGGCACAAAACAAATGCTTAATAAGTTGTTATTAAATAAATTCCTAAGCTAATACTTTGTTTTTATTGTTTTTATTTAATTCAGTCAGTATAAAACCATTACTTGAGCACCCATTATGTCCCAGATACTATACAAAGCTGAATAGACAGACATGAATCCCTCCTCATAAAGTGAGTCTTCTTCTCACATCTTATAGTTTAACTGAAATTGGTGACATAACTTACACTCCTGATTGCTAACATTATTGTTGTAACACTGGGATGAACAATACTACTGCTGAGGCACTATTTCCTCACATACACTGAATGGTTGAACAAAATTACCTATTCTATAAAATTATCGAAATTATTGTAAAGCGTACGAAACATATAAAGCATTATATGTTAAGTTTTAAGATTGTAAAATTATTTTTTGAGTACTGCCAAAAACAGATGTTCTCCAGTCTCAAAGCAATTCAGTCTCTCAAATGGAAACATGCACAGCATTATGTAAAACACATAAAGAATTTAGCAATTCTAGCATTGTTGTATTTTTAAACTAGATCTCTATTGTTTAATGTAACTTTCTTGATAATGCAATATTTGATGTTTGGTATCCTCTGTAAGATCTAGCACTTTTCACACAAAAAAAAATAGTATTCAGTAAATGAATTCATACAATGGAAACAACTTAAGAATAACCAAGGATTAGAATCTGAATGATATTTAGCAGATTCAAAAACCCCATGAAATTACATGCAAAACTGTGGGTCTGAAGGCCACTTTGAAGAATTCTTTGGTTTTATCAATGAGTTCTACTTTCCAAAATAGTTTTCTTCACTCAGTGTGCAGCAACTGAATATCAACTACTTGCCAGGCATTGTTTCATGATTCAGACTTAGAATCTAAAATATTTTTATAAATAATGAATGTTAATTACATCAAATTTTTACAGAATCTGTTTTCTCAAATTCACACCATTAAAATTAATGCATAGTCTACTGAACATATTTACATTCTAAATCAGTGCTAGATACCATGCAGTCATTTAATATATTTGCTGGTAAATATATACTTTAGAAATACATTCTTATTTGGCTTCATGGAAAAGGCTTCAAGATAAGAGAACTGATAGGACTTGAGTAAATAAGTGTGTATGTGTGTGTGTGTGTGTGTGTGTGTGTGTATGCACATACACATATAATTTAAGAATATAATTTAAGAAATCTCTAGTGAATCATAATGCTCTCACTGTTTAAACCATGTCTCATTCACCAACTATCTTACACCACAGCTGGGTTCCTATTTATTCCTAACAAAAACAATAAAGCTATTGTCATTTAAAAAGAATGATGACACATTAAAAATTTTCATAAAATTGTTTTGTAATCAGTTTTCTCAGGGACTTTTCATTGATTGAAATAAACAGCTTTCAAATGCTCCAGATTTTTCAAATCTCGAGAAAACCTTTAAAATTTAATGACAATTTTTTCCCCTTCGGAAATCCTATCATCTCTCTTCAATGCATTAAGCATCTCCTATCTACAGTCAATATTTATCTGAAGAGCTATTTAAATTCTCTGAATAACATGTTTACCTTTGAGAATGACTGCTTTATTCTTGTCACAAACATAGAGAAAAGGGCATTTTCCCAGATATAGGCATAGAACCCTGAAAGACTAAAATTCTCACCCACAGCAAATATTCATTATATAATGTGACAATTTCTGTGCAGCATAATCTAAAATCACTGTGCAAAAGACGGTTACCTTATATGAATTAGCTAGTTCTTATATTGTCAGTACTAAATTGCAATTAGTGATAGTGGCCAGGAGATGGCAGAGTCTTGTTTTCCTAAGATTTACTTCATTGGCCTTTCTGTCATTCACAACATTCACTTTAAAGAGAAATGTTTTATTAATGGCACTGTTATCGCAAAGGACAGATACAAATAAAAAATAAGACATTCAGAAAAAGTAAAGAATTTAAATTTCTCAGAAGTTTTACTTATTACTAATCATATATATGTGAACAAAATATTTTAAAATACTTTGAATAACTTTTTTTTCCTTTCTCCAGTGTTCAAGGAGCAGAAGGAAAGAAAAAGTTCCAAACAATAATTATTTAGACATACCTCAATTGTTCAATTCTTCCTTTGGTTAATTTTATATAATGCTGGATTGTTTCATACTTACAAATGTATTTTACAACTATAAACCCCACTTTTCAATAAAATAAAAAAAAACAAGTACAGTTTTAAAATAGGAATTTATATATATTTTAGGGAGAAAGTGTGTTAGTTTAAAGTAAAAGTATTTCTCGAAACGGCTTTATTCAAGGCACATATAATATTTAAATGTTTCTTTCACTTAATAAATGCTAAAGAAGTCTTTAAATGTCAAGTTTATTATATTGCTTTTAAAAAACAGCATCTTTAAGGCCTGGCAATCCACTCACCTAATAGTGAACACATTAGTAGATGTGGATGTGGGGTAGGTGTGGGGTCGCATTGCATGCCTTTTAGGAATGCTTCAGAAAGGGGGAACAGACAGGTGAGTTACAGATTGTCCCGAGTCAGTCTGGAATACAGTCTGTTGCCAGTTATATTGTCTTTACTGGGATGGTGGGAGGAATCCCTAATCATCCCCGAAAAGGCATAATCCAAAGCTGGGTGAAAAGGCAATGCTGGTACCAGCCCAGGAGTTAGGTACGGAGACATGAAACCAGGTAGCCCTCTTCCCGGAGAGGAATACGCCAGCCGTAAGGGACTGATACCTAGTCTAGGACTTAAGCTGTAGAGACTTGAATCAAGTCCGTAAGAAGCAGAACTGGTTTGAAGAGGAGAAAAAGCTGATTTATTTCCTAGCGTTCCAAAACCAATTCCAGCGAAACTGAAGTTTGAAGCTCTCTGGAAAGCTGTATTTCCCAAGCCTCCTGAGCTTGCTAGGTCCCTGCTGTCTGGCTGGTACTCTTTCCCATTTAGGACCTGTTCGATGGCTTTGACCACATCCCCTTTGCAGAACTGCAGAATGCCTTCCAGCCGGCCGCGCCTGTAACTTGGGAAGATCTTGGTGAGGATATCAAGAGGATCTCTTGGTCTTGAAGACACTGTGTGAAGTCTGGACCTGGGAGCAGTGAAGTTCCTAGCCCACTCGCTTTCATTTCCTGATTCCAGGTCAGAGGATGATAGAGACCTGGGACTCTCTTCACCTCCTGATTGCTCCCCAGGGTGAGGAGACACAAGGCCATCACCCTTGTTTGAGTTTTCTGAAACAGATGACCTAAGATTGTGTTTTCCAGTGACACCAACAGGCTTAGGAGATGACCCCAGGGTGAGTTGATGAGGTTTGGAGACCGGTTCTTTTTGTCCACTCTCGTATGAGTCACATTTACTCTCTTTGTGTTCTGGGGGGAAAGAAACATAAAGAGGAATCAAATAAGGAGAAACTTCCAAGAACATCGTGCTGCCTACTCAAAAATAATGCTGGATGGAATAATTCATTCCCTCATGGTATATTAGTAATACTTATTCATTGTAAGACATTTTAATGAATAAGAGTTTTTAAAGCTCATTTGAAAATGCCAATGCTGGAATAGTGAGGAAATGCTATTTATGATGCCATTTCAAGATTACAAAAGTTAAATAATATATAAATTCAGTATCTTATTTAGGAATCAAAAATGAGAGTCCATTGTTATCCCAAATTGTTAATGTAACACCCAGTATTGCAATTTGAAGTTTTCCTAAATGTCGCTTAAGTTTTGTTGTTATCCAAGCGGGTCTTCTTTTCACAATGACACGATACAAAAAGAACTGAGTGAAATAGTTATGTTTAGGTAAGAAGTCAAAAGAAGAAGCAACCTGAGTATGAAAATGAATATTCTATTGAATCACTAATGGTACATTTCTACAATTGGTTTTTAATGCTCACATTAGCAAGTTCCAACTAAATTACCTGAATAATGTAAAAAAAAAAAAAAAAAAAGAAATAACAAGATTGTTTACTCCATATCAAATCTAAACCAATAATGATGACTGCTGTACCAATCTCAAATCACAGCAGTCACATACTTCATTTTAGTGAGCTGGTATTTGTTATAATTCTCTGTGAAATACAGGCTTTTCTTTTCAACCCTAGGAAAATATTGAGAAAAGAGGTTACAGTCAAATTGTTCCTAAGAGAAAATTAGAAACAGCACTATTGCACTATTGTAATCTGTGTGTGGTAAAAATAATGTACTATGTATTTATTTCAAATCTCAACTCCCTTGTAATCTTAAGGGGGAATTTTCCCAAAAAAATGTTTTTACAGAGCAATCTGATTTTTCTACCTCAACTGGTTGAACATGAATATTAATAAAACAAGAATATCTTTAGGAAAATAACAATGCATATATTCACTAAGTAACTTTTATTTTGGTTTACCCTATAGACATATTTTATGTCATTTCTATTTTCAAAGAGTAGATTGTCAAATGGGATACTCAGAAAATGTCAGTCAAACTTTCTTATTCTACTTTCTTATGAATGCAACAAAACAAATACTGCCTAAAGCAGTGATTTGCAACCACAATTTGCAAAACTCCTATGTTTTCTCAAGGAGAGGTCCTACGTTCTAAAATAATACCTATGATTTATTTTAAAATTAAAGTCAGTATACAGTTGAAAATTTTGATCATTAAATGCTGTCATTATATCAAACATACAACAAAAGAAAGGATGTTTCTAAACATCCTAAAAAGTTATAAAATTGCAACTCTAGTATTGTCAACTTTAAATAAAATTCTTTTGATGTAATTCTGCCAAGTGGAAAGAGATTGGCATTGGTCTGCCATTCCATTTTATTTACAAGGATGATTCACTAAATATAGCCCCCTGAACGTGTAAGGCATCAACATTTTATCTCTAAAGCAATTTATATAGTTATTACATTGTACTCACGGAGTATAATATAATGCAATAAAATATGGATTGCATGAAACCATCAAGAAAATAAGGTATCTTTAAAATACTGTGATATCATTTATATCATCTCTCTGTTCTTCAACTCCTATTGCTCTTTTTACTTCTTTCCTTTTATCATTGTATAGTATGTCTTATAGTTTTTGGATAGGTATAGTTTTCCTCATTTTGAATATAAGGTCTTTTTGTGTAGGGAAATCTTTATTCACCTCTGAATCACTGTTAGTCTTTGTCTCACGAATGAGTAAATTAAGTACGTTCCTACAGCTCATGGATATTGTGTAAGAAGAGGCAGTTTAGAAAAGCCGTGAAACTAATCTTCCAAAAAAGGGGGTCAACTGAGCCAAAGAACAAAATAACATAATTGGCCCCATGGAACAGTACACTTTGGTACCCCTCCAAGAAAAATACATAAATTGGTCTGTAGCAGAGGCTTGTCAGCCAAATCTCACTGTCAATTTAATTCATAGGATTTTAACTGTTACTTCTTTTTCATAGTAGTTTTGTTTAATAACTCTGCTCTTCAGCCCTCTTTGATATTTCAAAAGAAATGTTTAAAGTCTATTTTGTCTGCTGAAATAAACTAAAACATGGGCAAAAAATGGCATAAGTAAAAAAAAAATCATATATGCCTTATGCAAATACAGAAACAGTTTTGTTTTTTTTTTATCATCAAAAGCACATCCTGTAATATAAGATCTGCAGTTTTCATAATCTAGGGAAGTTTTCTAATTAATAACTTACTGTATTATTATCATACAATCTCATATAATACAACCTGTCTTGGATTGATAAAAAAAAATACTGGAAACATTTTCACTGCTATGAGGACTATGAAATTCACTAAAATAGAGTGGGATTTGCATTAGTGGGAAAAGTTAATTTGGATATGTCAAATGTAGATACGTATTTCAGTGTAGATATGCATGTATTTGTATATCTGTGTGTGTATATATATATATATATATATATATATATATATCATAACACAGTGTATGAAAGTGATTTGTGGCTGATAAATTTTAAAAAATAATAATTAAAACTCCTTGGGTAAGAAATCGCTAATATTGGACTTTGAAATTCCTATATGTGTTTTCACAAATGTAGAAAAGTTATTTTTTTTTCATATAGGAAGAGCTGAAACTTCAAATATTGGAACATTTTACACTTTAGGAGGCTGACAAATGAGGAATGTGGGTTGAATGCTTAAAAATTTGGAGAGACTGGGATGAAAAGAGGCTTCGGTGGATTCCAGTCTCTTCCCCACTTCTCGCTGGCTCCAGAAGTTTGCCCCAAAGCTCAGGAACTCTACTCTCAACTCTCAGTGTGTTTCCCACACACAGGATCAGAAGGTTTGCTCTGGTTTTACAGCTGAAACCAGTACCGGATCAAGCTCAAAACGCAGTCCCCTCACTAAACTTTTCATTCAATGACTACTCACACGAAGAAGTCACAGAAACTGGGGTACAAACTCCATGCCTAAGGTAAATTGCTCATCTGATTACTCACCCTTCACTTTTTCCATTATCTTATCCTATGGCCTTACAGAAAGCTTTTCCACAGTGAATGTGATGGCCCTCAACCACCCTCATTCACGTCATATTGCAGAACGGTTAGTGTTCTTTTAAACAACGTGTGTGTGTGTGTGTGTGTGTGTGTGTGTGTGTGTGTGTGTGTGTGTGTGTATTTCAGAGAGGAAGGGAGAGGGAGAGAGAGAGATGGAAACATCAATATCAATAATGAGAAAATGATGAATCGGCTGCCTCCTACATGCCCCACACTGGAATCGCAGCCCGACACCTGGTCCTATGCTCTTGGACCAGGAATTGAATGGCGACCTGGTTCATAGGTGGAGGCTCAACCACTGAGCCACTTGGCTGAGCTTTTTAAACAACTTTTATTGCCCGCCTCCAGGGCAAGGCTGCTTGTTTCAAATACTTTCTCCCCAGAGCACTCATTTTCTTTTGCAAAGAGGGAAATAAAAACCAACTCACCTTGCTTTCCCTCCGCGTCCTCTGGCTGGAAAGCCTTGGAAGCAGGGGTGGCCAGCCCGCCGGCCCGTCTCCAGGTCTCCAGTCCCAGCGCGGTCACCTCCTCCGCAGGGACGCCCGCCTCCAGGGGGGTCTGGGTTCCGCCGCTGCCTCCCGAGGTCCGACCCCCGGGACCCTCCGAGGGTGAGGGTCCGGAGGGTCCGGAGGGTTCGGAGGGTCCCGCGTACAGGAGCCTCCGCAGCGCCCCGGCCTCGCTCTCCTCCTGCGCCTGCTGCCGGCGCAGCGCCACCTGCGCGGCCATGACGCGCTGGCGCTCGGCGATCAGGGCGCACTTGGCACAGGCGCAGGCCCGCCAGCGGCACAGGCGCTTGTGGCCCTTGAGCGCGGACACCACGCCGTGGTTGCGGCAGCGCGCGCACTTGGGGGTCCGCGGGAAGCCGCCGCCCAGCGCGCCCACCAGCCCGGGCGCCGGCCGGGGGCCCCCGCTCCCCGCGGCTGCCGCCTGCAGGAGCAGGCTGGGCGGCCGCAGGAAAGTTGGGGGAAGCGGGATCCCCGGCGGCGGCGGAGGGGCCGCCACCACCAGCCCCGGGGCCAGGCGGGGTCCCCCGCTGCAGCCTCGGCTCCCGCAGGGTGAGGGCTCCATTCCGGGGTTGCCCCAGAGAAGCGCGCTCGCTGCCCGCCACTAACCCTACGGGGGTGCAGGGACCAGGGCGATGGCTGGGGTCCCTCACGCGGACAGAGTTTGGCACAATTGCCGCAGGGAGCTGGGGACCACGGTTTCCAGGAGCTGGGGACTCCCGGAGGCGCAGGTGCCCAGTGAACGGCTGAGAGCGGGGCACCGTGTTAAGGTCCCAGCGCCAGAGGGAAGCTCCTCAGAGAGGCTACCCCGCCCACCTGGCCTCCCGGCCAAGCTCAGAGCCCTGAGCCCTGGCCAGGGGAGGAGAGTGGGACCTTCTGGGAGGAGGGGCCACAGGAGGCACCAGAAACCCTCCTGATGGGATGCCCATGGCCTTTCCCCAAAGAAGCCCTTTTACACTTGCTTCCCCATGAATTCCTCACTGTTCGTATTTGTGAAACAATCTTCAAATCCTTTTCCAGGCCTCTTACTGCCCTTCTTAAATTAAGCAATAGTAGTAAATGCTCCTTTCCCAGAATCTAGAACAAATACTGCAAAAGTGTATAGGAACCAAAGAAAAGACCCTGAATAGCCACAGCAATCTTAAAAGTGTGAAGATTTGAATGTGGAATGCTTTCCTTTCTTTTTCCCAGAGGAAGTCTTCAGGATGGGAGCATAGTCAGTTTTTATGAGAAAGCACAGCTCCACAGGCTGCAAACATTACCCACTTGAAAGCTGCTTTACTTTAAGTAGGTCTTAGGGCTAAGTCAAAACAACGGATAATGAAGGGGATTAATTCACATCCAGATTCTTCTTCTGCATTTTGTTTATTAACAGGTGCACGTTTGGACTCTATGTATTATTAAATTTTGAAAGGCTACCTCCCAAAAGAGTCTATGAACTATTTATTAACAATTGGGTTAAAGCTGTCTCAAACATAATTCACATTTCTGTTGTAAAGTCTCAGGGAAGGTCCTTTAGGTTCTTTAAATATGCTATCATAAAAATGCATTCTTGAAATATGTACTTAATGCCTTTAACTGTAAGAAAAGATCATATTGCTTTAAACTAAAAGAGCATTTGAGGTAGAAACTTCATGAGTGTTTGTTCTTACTGGAAAGGAGACTTGGGGCTTTCTCATTCTTTGAGATAATATTCAGTTGCCTAGACGGACAATTCTTTTTTTTTTTTTAATATATCTTATTGATTTATTTATTTTTTTTTTTTTTTTACATAGAGGAAGGGAGAGGGATAGAGTTAGAAACATCAATTAGAGAGAAACATCAATCAGCTGCCTCCTGCACACTCCCTATCGGGGATGTGCCCCCAACCAAGGTACATGCCCTTGACCAGAATCGAACCTGGGACCCTTCAGTCTGCAGGCCGACGCTTTATCCACTGAGCCAAACTGGTTAGGGCTAGAGGGACAATTCTTATTCTTGCCCTAAGATGGAAAGTAATAATGACATTTTTATCATTCCTCCTATTGGCATCCAGTGTCCAGGGAAGATACTGCTAATCAAACTGGGCTTTCTCCTCTCGGCCGCTCCACACCATCACTACCATCACCACTCTGTCATATCCACACGGTGGTATCCTGTCATTGAGGTTTTCTATCCTTCCTAAGCATTGGAACCACCTAGGACACTTTTAAATGATATAGTCACAGGTATTCTGATTCTTTAGGTCTAATATTAATATTTTGGGGGGGTTATTTTATAGGGTTTTGTTTTATTTTTAATGACTTTTTTTTAAAAAATTATCTTTATTGATGAAAGTATTATAAATACTCTCTCCATTGACTCCCTTTCCCTCCCAGGTTCTCACCACACTATGTCTGTGTCCATGGATTATGATATATGCATATATAACTTCTTGGGTTAATCTCTTTCCAAACCCCATCCACCCCCTCTGAGATTGGTCAGTCTGTGCCATTTCTATGTCTCTGGACCCATTTTGTTCATCAGTTTATTTTGTCCATTAGATTCCGCCTATTAGTGAGGTCATGTGATACTTGTCTTTCTCTGACTGGCTTATTTCACTTAGCATAATAGTTTCCAGGTCTCTCCATGCTGTCTCAAAGGGTAAGAGATTCTTCTTTTTTATAGCTGCATAGTATTCCATGGTGTCAATGTACCACAGCTTTTTTATCCATTCATCTGCTGATGGACACTTAGGCTGTTTCCAGATCTTAGCTATTGTAAATTGCACTGCTATGAACATAGGAATGTATACATTCTTTCTCACTGGTGTTTCAGGATTCTTAGGATATATTCCTAGAAGTGGGATCGCTGGGTCAAATAGCAGTTCAATTTTTAATTTTTTGAGGAATTTCCATACTGTTTTCATTAGTAGCTGCACCAGTCAGCATTCCCAACAACAGTGTACTAGAGTTTCTGCTACATCATCGCCAGCTTTTGTTATTTGTTGATTTGTTGATGGTGACCATTCCAGCAGGTGTGAGGTGATACTTCATTGTCCTTTGAATTTACAACCTCTTTGATGATTAGTGGCTTTGAGTATTTTTTCATATGCCTCTTAGCCATCTGTATGTCCACTTTGGAGAAATGACCATTAGGTCCTTTGACCATTTTTAATTATTGTATTGTCTGTCTTCCTTTTGTTAACTTATATGAGTTCTTTATATATTTTGGAGATAACCCCTCATCAGATATATCATTGGCAAATAAGCTTCCCCATACAATGGGCTCCCTTTTCATTTTGTTGATGGTTTCTTTTGCTGTGCAGAAGCTTTCTATTTTTATGTAGTCCCATTTGTTTATTTTCTCCTTTGTTTCCCTTGCCCTAGGCGATGTATCAACAACATATTGCTGTGAAAGATGTCTGAGATTTTGCTGCCTATGGTTTCTTCTAGGATTTTGATAGTTTTAGGATTTACATACAAGTCTTATATCCATTTTCAGTTTATTCTTATGTATGGTGTAATTTGGTAGTCTAGTTTCTTTTCTTTTTTTACCTATCCAATTTTCTCAGCACCACTTATTAAAGAGACTGTGTTTACTCCATTGTAAGTTGTTGCCTCCTTTGTCAAATATTAATTGAGTGTGATAGGTTCGTTCGATTTCTGGGTTCTTTGTCCTGCTCCATTGACCTGTTCTTGTGCCAGTACCAGGCTGCTTTGATTACAGTGTCTATAGCTTGATTGCTGTTATTGTGATCCCTCCAACTTTGATCTTTCTCAATATTGCTGTGGTTATTCGGGGTTTAGTATTTATTCTAGATCTGTGAAATGGGGCAAGTGATACTGGTTTTCACATTTGACTTTGATACATACCTTGCACAACTTATAAAGAATTGAAAATAAGTGAATGTATTTAAATAAAATGTACCAATTTAAATGAAAAATGAAAAAAAATATGTGAAAGACTAAAAACAAATAAACTTTGCTAACAAAAAATAAAGATCTAAATAAATGATGAGTATATTGTGTTCAAGGTCAGAAGACACAACATAGTTAAGAACACAATTATACCTAAATTGATCTATAAATCACTTCAGTCTCAAAATTCTAACAGACTTTTCAGAATAAACTGTCAAATCCATTCTAAAATTTGTGTGGAAATGCAAAGGAAGGACCTAAAATAGTCAAAACATCTTTGAAAAGGGGTAAAGTTGCAAGGCTAACAATATCTTATTTTGCAAGTAATTACAAAGTTACCAGTGTAGTATTGGTGAAAAGATAGAAAAACCTACCAATGTGACAGAATAGAGAGTTTAAAAATAGATAACCAATTTTAAGCAAAAGTGCAAAGTAAATTCAGTGGTAAAAGAATAGTTTTATTCCTAACAAATTTTCCTGGAACAATAGAGCATTTGTATGTAAAAAAAAAAAAAAAAAAAAAATTGTTGTCTTTGACCGTACCTTATACAACTTACAAACACTGGCTTAAAAAGGATCACAGACCTGAATGTAAGTTATAAAACCATATAACATAGGATAACAAGTTTGTGATCTTGAGTTATGCAAATATTTCTTAGATACAACAATGAAAGTATGATCCCCCAAAAGAACAAATTGATAAAGTATGATTTATCAGAATTAAGTACTTCTTTTCTTCAGAAGACACAGTTCATAGACTGAAGCATCATACCACTGACTGAGAGAAAATAATTGTAATACATATATCTGATGAAGGCCCTGTATACATAGTAATTAAGAAATTTTGAAACTCAAAAGAAAAAAGGACCCATTTTTTTTAAATGAGCAAAAGACTCAAATAAGCATGTCACCAGAAATGATATAGACTTATTTAAAAAAAAAAAAAAAAAAAAAAAAAAAAAAAAAAAAAAAAAAAACACAAAATGCTGAACATCATTAGTCATGAGGGAAATGCAAGCTAAACTGTACCATGAACTACACATCTGTTAAAGCGGCAAAAATGTAAACGATGACCATACAAAATATTAGCAAGAAGGTGGAGTAGCTAGGACTCTCATGCACCCCTGCTCGAAATGTCCAACAGTCCAATCAGCTCGGAAGCCAGTTGAGTGTCATAAAAAGCTAAACATGCATGTTCCCAGTCATCGGAGAAATAAAGCAAATGGCCATACAAAGCAGCAAACTGGAAAAACCCAAACAACCATCAACAGTTAATATAAGCACACAACGGAAAACTACTTAGCAACAAACAAAGTACATGGCTACATGCTACACATGAATAAACCTAAAAATCATTATTTTGAAAGGCAGAAACCAGGTATAAATGAGTATGTGCTCTATGATATCATCCTATATAATAAAGAGGTAATATGTAAATTGACCCTCATGCTGAAGGCATGCACAGCAGGGGAGGGGCATCAGGGGCAGGGCTGGAGGCCACTTCACACAGCTTCCACCCTGGTTCCTGTGGCCCCACAGGGGGGTGAGGGTTCTACCGGGGATTACGCAGCCACACACACACACACTGTGGGGGTCCCTGTGTCCACTTTTCGTGGCTTCTGCCAGGATTTACGTGGCCCCATGTGCATGCCGTGGGGACAGAACTCAGCAGCCGCTTCATGCAGCC